ACTGAGTGTGTTTCCATGTGCCCCGTTTTGAGCCTCATTCCGGTTCTGAGTCTGGATCTGGTGTTTCCAAGTGCTCAGAGAAACCAGAACATTCAGTATCTCTGTGTACACAAGGAACCAGAGTATCCTGGATATTTTGAACGGTTGCTATGGTAACTATGTCAAATTTGCCAACTTAAGGCTTAAAGAGGTTTCAACCAACAAAACAGAAGACAAAGATTCAAGTAGGAACATGAGTGTCACAGAGTCAGTTTAGTCCAAGAGCAACACAAACAGACACAGAAGTGAGACGGGGGTTAAAACGGTGACCCTCTCCAGGCAGCCGCTGTAGATTTACAACAGTTTAATTCCAATTACCAACTTACTCCACATCCAGACTTTATGAGCCTTTTTTCCCATTCATGCTGATGAACGGCTCCACACGAACAACCTGTCAGAAGTGCAAAGTACTTTTGTGCTTTACCAGTGTTGGGGAGTAACAGATTACATGTACCGGAGTTACGTAATCAGAGTACAAATTATTGGATTACAGTTACTTTGTTGAAATAAATTGATTACACGACGGTATTTTCCTGTTTTCACATTATTTTTATTTTTATTTATTAATTTATTTATTTTTTTCGGTAATTCCACTTATTGCTGGAAACTAAACCAGGTCTAAACCAGGTCTAAACTAGATCTAAACCAGGACTAAAACCAAGTCTAAACTAGATCTAAACCAGGACTAAAACCAAGTCTAAACTAGATCTAAACCAGGACTAAAACCAAGTCTAAACTAGATCTAAACCAGGACTAAAACCAAGTCTAAACTAGATCTAAACCAGGACTAAAACCAAGTCTAAACTAGATCTAAACCAGGACTAAAACCAGATCTAAACTAGATCTAAACCAGGACTAAAGCCAGATCTAAACTAGATCTAAACCAGGACTAAAACCAAGTCTAAACTAGATCTAAACCAGGACTAAAACCAGGTCTAACATAGATCTAAACCAGGTCTAATCTATATCTAAACCAAGTCTAAACCAGGACTAAACCAGGACTAAAACCAAGTCTAAACTAGATTTAAACCAGAACTAAAACCAGATCTAAACTAGATCTAAACCAGAACTAAAACCAGGTCTAAGATAGATCTAAACCAGGACTAAAACCAGAGCTAAACTAGATCTAAACCAGAACTAAAACCAGGTCTAAACTAGATCTAAACCAGGACTAAAACCAGGTCTAAGATAGATCTAAACCAGGTCTAATCTAGATCTAAACCAAGTCTAAACCAGGACTAAACCAGGACTAAAACCAGGACTAAAACCAGGTCTAAACTATATCTAAACCAGGACTAAAACCAGGTCTAAACTAGATCTAAACCAGGACTAAACCAGGACTAAAACAGGATTAAACAGGATTTAACAGGACTAAATCCTGCTGTGCGGACGTGTCTCCTCCTCTTCTATCAATAATATTTTTAATACTGTTAAGTATCCTGGTTTTTGTTTCTCTACAGCAACTCAAGTAATCCAAAGTATTCAGATTACATTACTCACTTTAAGTCATTTAATGGATTACGTTACAAACTACATTTTGAGGTATGTAATCTGTAATCTGTAGGGGCATACATTTTAAAAGTCACCTTCCCAACACTGTGCTTTACAAAGGATAAAAATTGTTTCTTGGAGAACCACACGAAAAAGTGATGTTGTTGTGCCACTGTAAAACTGTCACACTCTGCTTTATGTTTTCATTGTTATAAAAAATGGTGTACAAATAAAGTGAGCGTTCATATCATTTTCAGTTTCAATGTTAATTTATCACACCGGACCAAATCTGCATCATCCCAGAACACATTTGATCTCAAAAAAAAAAAAAGAAGTCAGGATTGTATATTACTATCCCATATGATCATTTTCCCCAAATATCAGATTTTTCCTGTTACTAAAACTTAATTTGAGCCTGAGAGGGATAAACAGTACACTGATTTATTGTGTTTAAAACTATAGAATAATATTACTTAAAAAGTCCTGGTAGAAGTCGTGGTAAAAGTCCTGGTTGAGTCGTTTTGAGAATGTAACTGCTCCTCACTCCTCCTCGTATCTGTCACTTGAGTTTGAACCTGTGTGGGACCAGTAGTAATAAACAGCGTGAGTGAAAAATCCCTCAGTCGTCCAAGTAGAATCCAGGGCACAGGAGAAATTCAGTTTTTTGACTGGACAAAAGTTTATTTGGTCAAGTACATTTCACAGCTCATCCAAGTTGCTTCTTCAGTTCTGGTCTTCTCCCTACAGACAGATATAAGGAAGTGTCCACCAGCGTCTGACCAGAACTGAAGAAGAAGCTTGGATGAACTGCAAAACATATTTGACCAAATCAACTTTTGTCCAGTCAAAAAACTCAATTTGTCCTTTACCACTAACAAGCAGCCACTGTTATTAATGCTGTATAAGAATGACAATAGATTAGAAAAGACCACCAACCTTATTTTATATAAGATTTGTATTTGACACATTTTTATAAATTTAATGTGCACAAGGAACCAATAAGATTTTAGACAGGAGGTGTGCTGGAGACGTAGACAGGCAGGTGAAGGCGACTCAGGGGCCTCACAGGTCCTAATGTAACAGATGTGAATAACGTGGTCATAAACGTGTCTCTTGTGTTTCAGTACATACAGACAGTGTTGGGAAGGTGACTTTTAAAATGTAATCCCCTACAGATTACAGATTACATACTCCAGAATGTAGTTTGTAACATAATCCATTAAATTACTTTAGGTGAGTAATGTAATCTGAATACTTTGGATTACTTGATTTGCTGTAGAGAAACAAAGACTCGGACATCTTCACATAAGATGTTTTGTCTGATAAAATAAATAAAAATAATAAAAAGCCCAGACTTTACTGAACCAAATTAAAAATAGTATTAATAGAAGTGGAGGAGACATGTCCACACAGCAGGATTTAGTCCTGTTAAATCCTGTTTGAGACCTGGTTTAGATCTGGTTTAGTCCTGGTTTAGATCTGGTTTAGTCCTGGTTTAGTCCTGGTTTAGATCTGGTTTAGTCCTGGTTTAGTCCTGGTTTAGATCTGGTTTAAATCTGGTTTAGTCCTGGTTAAGTCCTGGTTTAGTCCAGGTTTAGTCCTGGTTTAGTCCTGGTTTAGTCCTAGTTTAGTCCTGGTTTAGTCCTGGTTTAGTCCTGGTTTAGATCTGGTTTAGTCCTGGTTTAGTCCTAGTTTAGTCCAGGTTTAGTCCTGGTTTAGTCCTGGTTTAGATCTGGTTTAGTCCTGGTTTAGTCCTGGTTTAGTCCTGGTTTAGTCCTGGTTTAGTCCTGGTTTAGTCCTGGTTTAGTCCTGGTTTAGTTCCTGGTTTAGTCCTGGTTTAGTCCTGGTTTAGTCCTGGTTTAGATCTGGTTTAGTCCTGGTTTAGTCCTGTTTTTAGACCTGGTTTAGTCCTGGTTTAGATCTGGTTTAGTCCTGGTTTAGTCCTAGTTTAGTCCAGGTTTAGTCCTGGTTTAGTCCTGGTTTAGTCCTGGTTTAGTCCTGGTTTAGTCCTGGTTTAGTCCTGGTTTAGTCCTGGTTTAGATCTGGTTTAGTCCTGGTTTAGATCAGGTTTAGTCCTGGTTTAGATCTGGTTTAGTCCAGGTTTAGTCCTGGTTTAGATCTGGTTTAGTCCTGGTTTAGTCCTAGTTTAGTCCAGGTTTAGTCCTGGTTTAGATCTGGTTTAGTCCTGGTTTAGATCTGGTTTAGATCTGATTTAGATCTGGTTTAGACCTGTTTTTAGACTTGGTTTAGTCCTGGTTTAGTCCTGGTTTAGTCCTGGTTTAGTCTTGGTTTAGCCCTGGTTTAGTCCTGGTTTAGTCCTGGTTTAGATCTGGTTTAGTCCTGGTTTAGATCTGGTTTAGTCTTGGTTTAGCCCTGGTTTAGTCCTGGTTTAGTCCTGGTTTAGTCCAGGTTTAGTCCTAGTTTAGTCCAGGTTTAGTCCAGGTTTAGTCCTGGTTTAGTCCTGGTTTAGTCTTGGTTTAGCCCTGGTTTAGTCCTGGTTTAGTCCTGGTTTAGTCCTGGTTTAGTCCAGGTTTAGTCCTGGTTTAGTCCAGGTTTAGTCCTGGTTTAGTCCTGGTTTAGTGTCCGGCAATGAGTGGAATTACTGAAAAGAAAAAAAAAAGGGGGGATTTAGCCCAAAATGTGAAAACAGGAAAATACCGCCATGTAATCCATTTATTTCAACAAAGTAACTGTAATCTAATTACCACTCACTGAAACAGTAACTGTAACTGAATACAGTTACTCATCATTTGTACTCTGATTACATAACCCTAGTACATATAATCTGTTACTCCCCAACACTGCATACAGCAGTAAATGGCAGTAAACACACAATCTCTGAAGCCTCTTTATCTCACCACAAATACCACACATGCTCAGTTCAGCACCAGTTTTGAGATATGAGGAGACTGCGTCTACAGGCCACAGTGTCCTGAACGTCAGACTGGCTCATCCACGAGACTGAAGTCAGGATACTGCATCTATATGGACAGTCACATAACCATGATACTCGAGTACATGTGTACACACTCACTAACTGGTTACTTTCCAATGTACAATTTAATGGAGGCTAAAATATCTGTGACATCACAAGGTGGAATGGAACATTTTCAGCTTTGGAGATGTGGACAGAGGAATAATAACACAGAAAGAAACAAAACACAACTCCAGGTCTGTTTTGAGGACGGAACAACATTATAACACAGCTTCAAGCTGCACGGCATAACTTTTCTGGTGGAGGGTTCGCTACCTGCTTGTCTCCATGGAGATGTTATTGCTTTGCCTGGAATGTTCCACACTGAAAAAATTGTCCGAGAGGTGTTGCTCAAATTGCAAAAACAAATTTGACAACAATAACATGACTTTTTTTTACGTTTCTCTGTCCAGCATTTAAATCTTACAAAGGTCACTTGATCATGGTCGATGTTAAACCTGCAGGTTTTAATCAGGTTGAGGAAACATGACTTTATTCTAATCTGTGGTGAGGCTCCTCCCTCTGGAATTCTCCTCCTCAAAACCTTTGGAGGGAAAATTCAAATGGAACAGGACACAGGACAGATACAAGAGCAGAGGACACACAGTGTGGAGCAGGAGGATTATGAGAGCTGATCTGGAGGTGAGACTTTTCAAAGATTTTATTATATGTTTCTCTGGCCTAGAATGACGTCATTGTTAAAACATGTTTGTGGTGTTTTATTTGAAATTAGAGTTAATGTAAGGACTGTTTCCATGAAACACATTGTATTTGACTGTCCATCTACAAGAGTGTGACAGTTGTACTCAGATGTGAATGTGTTTGTTCCAGAGTCGTCTACAAACACAGAGTGACGTCCAGAGCTCTGCTGGAGCTGTGGGGAAGTTCATGAATGTTACAGCTGATGTTTCAGGAAAAAGGAAGATGTTTGAAAACCAACAAAACACAGAGCACAGATGAACAAAGTAAGTAAACCAACTAAAATGATTTTAAAAGAATTTTTCAAAATGAACTTCCTACTGAAACAGTTTTCGTGTTTCTACAGGGTGATGTGGCATTAGGAGGACTTTATACCAGATGCCCTACCTGTTACTGCATTTAGAGGAAGAAAAGCAGCACACAGTGAGTTTTGTTTCTGCAGATACACTTCTAATGTTCTTGTGATTCTGTTCTGGTCCATTATTGTCGTAATAAGTGCTTTAAGTGTATTTAAACATGTACAACAGAGTAAATGATCAGAATGTGATCATCATGTGTTATTCTGTGTCCACAGAGACCAGAGCTTCTTCACTGGAATAAATCTTCACACTGTCCAGCTCCAAACTGTGTGTCTCTGTACTTGTGTGTCTCTGTGTGTTTGATTCTGTTTAAGACAATACAGATCTGTTTGTATTATTTTACAGAATTAGATCAATTCAATTCAATGATACATACATATACATTTCACGATAAGGTAACATAAGATAAATCTGCATATTCAGCATGATTTGATCAAATTTCATCAACATGAAAAAGTGACGTTCATGTTCTGAGAAAAATATGTGTAGAGAGGATCAAAATAAGTTTCAAAGCCTAAACATTTTTTTTTTTTCAGTGCATTAAACATTTCCATCTGGCATTTATTCATTAGGGGTGTTTCTGTTGCTCAAAAATACAATCATTCCTTCTGTGAATTGGAGCGCCTCTCCACAGATCTGACCTGTAATGTAGTGCTGTAACCTGCTTGTCTCCCTCGTGGTAGACAGGTTTAATCTCTACTGTGGGACATTCTAGACAAAGCAATAACGTTTCCATGGAGACAAATAGGTAGAGGACCCATCACCTGGAAAGTTGCACCTTTAAAGCTCACACGAGTCAGAATGTAGGAGAATATGGGACTTTTAAAGGGACAAAATGCTCTCTTTTTGATGAGTTTAAGGCTTCTCTGTGTGAAAATGGATCTTCTGATAATCACATTCCACACAGACCTACACAGATCACTGAGGGAGCCCTGATAAATGTTTGGACGACAATCTAAAAACCCTGTCAGAAAACTGATGGGCCCCTCCACGCCTCCTCTTCACCTCCGCGTCCAAACCAGGGCCAGTCCTCCATCCATCGCTGTCATGGCAACGTCAGAGTAAAATACAGGGAGAGTGCACTGTAAAAACAACACTCACATACTGCTCATTCACACACTAGGATATAAAGAGAAAATGATTAGACTTTTTTTTTATATAATTCTTTAGACAGAGTTTAGTTTGTGTGTATGCCTAGACTTTTTGACAACTTTCAGTGTTTTTAGTTTTTAGTTTGTATTTTTTCTATACATATAAAAAGATATTAATTAGTGACAAAAGCATTTTCACATAAAGTCAAAAATATGCTGAAGTGTATAAATATGCACTGCAAATATAGTCAAAGTCTAGACATTGTAACTAAAACGACCTAATTAAAACTACTCAAATAAAAAAAAGGAAAACCAGTAAAGGTGCAATGTGTAACCTGGAGGTGGCAAAGTCATGAAAGTTAAAACCATACTGTGGAACATTCCATAGTTTTATGCCAAACTATGGAATATTATAGCCTAAAGGCCTATTCATACTTCATAAGAACATAAGAATTTTGTTCTTGTACCCGAGCTGGACCAACATTTTAGCTACGTTCAGACTGCAGGGCTTAATTCCGATTTTTTTGTGAAATCCGATGTTTTTGCGAGCTCGTTCACATTTCCAATTAAATGTGACTTGTATGTGACTCCAGTGTGAACATTAAACGGCCCGAAAGTGTCCCACATGTGACACTGGAGACACGACGACGTCAACCTCAGCGAGCGTGCTCTGTGTTTACAGAAGTTGTCCAAACATGGACGCAGCATTGAGCACCTGGAGATTTTAAAGTTCCTCTCGTACCGGAGCCAGAACATGAACAACTTACATGTTTTAAGGAGGAGATTGAGAAGGAGAAGGACGAGGTTTTTGGTGTTTTGTGAGACAGTCCGTTGAAAGGAATGTGTGGATGTGGAGACGTAGCCAAGAGTGGTGATGTGCTTCACTTCAGTGACACGGAGTTCATTAACAATTTTTGTATGATGAGAAGAATGTTTGTGTACGTTTGTGTCTTGTTGATAACGTGTAGGTGGATGAATACACTTTGGCCGTTCAGACTGAAGTCACATGTCAAAAGATCAGATATGTATCAGTTTCAGGAGCACATATCCAAGTATCGTGGGTCACATTTGAAAAACTCAGATCTGTGTTGTTCAGACTGTCATTAAAAGATCAGATACAGGAACATAGGGGCCAAAAAAATCGGATTTGGGTCACTTCAGGCTGCAGTCTGAACGCAGCCTAAGTTGGGCAGTTCTTGGGGTTCGTTCTCGACACCTCAGCAGAGCAGAACTTCACTGAGCAGTTGGGCAGCGCTGTTCCACATCTTCACTCTGATTGGTTATTTATGTGGCTGTGGTTTATCTGCTTCCTCACCGTGTGGAACAAGAAAAAAACAGTATGGTTTTGAGTCACAACTGGAGGAAAGGGTGAGAAAATATAAACATCTGTTCAACACGACGTTCATGCCAAATGGCAAGAAATTCATGGAGGGAGATCACCGACATTTTAGGCTCAGATGAAAATCAATGTAGAAAATGCTGGCGCAATCTTCATGACACGTTTGCGAAAGCCAAAAGGTGGGCCACCAAAAAAAGAGCGGTCTGCTGGAGGACGAAAAGAAATCCCCTCACTATAAACCTCCTGCAGCGGCTCCTTTATCAAACACAGAGAAACGTCACCAACAGGACTCCTGTTCAGGTGAAACAGACAGAAGAGATTCATACTGAGCGAAAAGGCCAGTGTGAGATGTGTGTGAACGAAAGGAACGTTACAATAAACAAGATGATCAATTAGTTCATATCATAAATGTCTGTAATAACAACAGCAGAGTGAGGGGCGGGGCAGAGTGAGGGGGCGGGACAGAGCGAGGGGCGGGGGCAGATTGAAGGGTGGGGCAGAGTGAGGGGGCGGGGCAGATTGAAGGGTGGGGCAGAGTGAGGGGGCGGGGCAGATTGAAGGGTGGGGCAGAGTGAGGGGGCGGGGCAGAGCGAGGGAGTGGTGCAGTTCAGCAGCAGAACATCTTTTGAAGTATGAAATGTTAGAGCCTAAACAAACTTTGTCGTTCTTCTCACCTCAACAACAGGAAAACAAAGTCCTGATGAAGTATGACCAGGCCTTTTGGAACATTTCCATAGAAACAAACAGAAGACTCTCCTCCAGGTCAAAGAAGAATCAGGATTGTGGAGATGCAATTTTCAGTACATTTTTCAGTACAATAAAAAAAAAAAAAAAAAAAAGATCACACTGTGTCTTTAGGTCATGTGGGTCTTTTTCTGGATCTGTTTTTGCAGTGTGCACCGTGTCTGTGGGGGAAGGGGGGGTGTAATAATTATGATGGACCTTCCCCCCCGTGCACCCATCTCTCCGTCTGTCCCCGTGGCACCTCTGGGCGACAGGAGCTGAGTCGGCACGATACGCTCTGCAGTGTCCTCTAAGGATCACTTCCTGCTTCATCTTCCTCTTCTTCATCATCACTGGGTTCTGCACAAACATGTTCCTCCTGAGGCCTCGTGGGAAATCCAGCGTGATGTGGATCTACAGAACACACACGAAGGACAATGTGACCTTCAGGAAATATGAGATTAAATATGATCATATATTATATTGATTTACTTATGACAACATTAGACAGAGAACAGTGTCTTTTTTTTTTTTTTTTTCGATATGCCTCATGATAGAGAGAAAGAATTAAAAGATAAAATGAAATAAAATAAAATAAGCACAGGATATAACTTGTTTTGCTGTATGTAAATGGTAACACTTTATAATTACTACACCTTATTTAGCCTTAATAAAGCCTGAACAAAGACTTAATTAATAATGAACAAAGACTTAATTCATAATGATTCACAGTTAGTAACTACTTAATTACTACCATATTTCGCACTTGCACTTAATTCACCTGTGCTGTAAATAGTTACTCATAATTATTTCAGACTTAATTACTCATGAACTAACCATTTGAGCATTTATTAATCATTAGTAAACTATGAGAGAATGATTTACTAATAATGCAATGCAATGATCATATCAGGCAGCTGTTATTTGTTAGTTAAGTCTTTTTTAGAGCTTTTCTAAAGTGAAGACGAATTATGGTTTATTAAGTATTTACTAAGTGTGAATCATTATTAATTAAATCTTTGTTCATTATTAATTAAATCTTTGTTCATTATTAATTAAGTCTTTGTTCATGCTTTATTAAGGCTAAATAAGGTGTAGTTATTATAAAGTGTTACCATGTAAATATTTGTAAAATTTCTTGATCAATGTACAGAAGCGACCACATTATTTTTAATGAACAGGAGTTTCTTCTTTGAGAGTTGTGCTTTTCTGTTGTCTAGTATGTATATGATTATTGTTTCTCTCTTGGCACAAACCATAAGTTAAAAAGCAAATCAATTAATCAAACAAATAGATAGATAGATAAATAGATTTGGAATATTTACAAATTAAGAGCATTTTTCATAAAAAATCACAAAATACATTCTTCTTGTCTCGTTTTTAGTAACAGTATATTTGTGACAAAACCTGTTAATCCATTTTTGCAGCTCTCATCAGTATATTTCATTATAGCAATGACACCACATGTGAAAAAAGTGAGTTGTAAATGAAAATGTTACTCAATATTATTTAAAGAATAATTTCTTAATTATACTGCACTGGATTTATACAGTCTTGTTTTGGACACTTTAAAGACATTTTACAGTTCATTCTCCACACTCGTATCTTATTGCGATACGGCGATAGATACTATTGTAGCCACAGCCGCCCTGGGACAGACTGATGTAAGTGACACCAACACACACACACACACACACACACACACACACACACTTTCACACTACAGGTTATGTGTGTAAAAGCTGAACAGGACACAACTAAAGTTTTTGCAACGGGTGCCCCACTTTTTAATAAAGAGCTTTAATAATTATATTCCATTGCTCATTCTTTCTTCGGTCTCAGTTGTGGTCAGCTACAGCCACAGCTGCCCTGGGGCTGACTAAGGAGAGCAGAGCCTCAGTGACCTGCACTTCCTGACCTTCAGTACACAAAGCACTAGGCCTGTCACAGTCATCA